GTGAGAATTTTCAGTTTTCACATAAGGATTTAGCATTTCTCAGTTTTCTCCTGTTTTCTTTGTCCTGTTTCCTTCCAATCATACAGTTAAACATAGTTTACACTTAACACTGATTCTTTAATTAGTTGTCTTAAACTAATTAGAGAAGACTTGGAGTACTTTTCTTTGGATATGCTGAATAGTTGGCCAACAGACTTCAGTGAAAACTAGACCAGAGGTTTCTATATTCGAATGGTTAAATCAACAGTATTTTGAAATAAATTGTGCCTATCCGATAAAATTTGGAAAGCTAGGTTATTCAAAGAGGTAATTAATAAGACAGGTGAAATATAGGACCTCCAGGTCCTTACTTTTCCAAGTCTTTGTTAAGATGAGAGGGTGGGGGAAAATGGTGACTGTGGGAGGGTTCAGAAAAGGAAGACCATTTAAATGATTAGGCACTGAAAACCTGACAGAAAATCTAGAGTTGATACAACCCTAATCGGTTCCCTAAATTAAGACTTATATATCTTGTGTCCTTAAGTGGGATCTCTGGTATTTTTTTACTTCCTGGAAACAAGATATTTCATTTTGTGCTAGAAGCATGAACATGTTTAATTAAATTGAACTGAAGATGAAGGATTTTTTTTTGCTTTGTCTTTTGAAATAGCACTTAAGAATTCTGTGCATATCTTATTTAACATATTCGATATTGTGTTTTGTGTGTGTGTCGGTGGAGCAGCAGAGCTAGTTAGGTTAAAGATATTTATGAGGGATTTACAGAACATATTTAAATATCTACCTTAAGCTGCCTACAGACAAGATTGAGATTTTTAGTGTAATCTAAATAATCTAGAAATGTGAGTGTTTAAAATCTAGATTGGACTAGATATTTTTCTCAGAAATTCTGCATTTTGATGGATTTTGTCTTTTAGTTGATTGATAAATTGAATTATTTTCAGTAACATGAGGTAGCATATACTGGGATAGGTTAAGCCAACTTTTTGTCTTTTTAAAAATGGTTTTATTTCTCTGTAGCCACTAGACCACCAGGGACAGCTGTTTATCTTCTGAGCTTTGATAGGATATTACACTTTTATTTTAAAATCTGTACTATTCTGCATAAAATTGCTAGATTGGAAAAGAATTGTAGACCTTGATGATTTCTATTAGTCCTTTTTTTCCTTTTTTTTTTTTTTTCTTTGCTTTTTGTAGAGACAGGGTCTTGCCATGTTGCCCAGGCTGGTCTCAAATTCCTGGGCTCAAGCAGTCCTCCTTCCTCAGCCTCCCAAAGTGCTGGGATTACAGTCTTGTTAATCATTTGGTTTCTTTTACTGTGTGCATTTTCATGTTACTTAAAACAAACTAGATTATTTCCACATTCTTTAATTCAGTCACAGTGGTCATCAGTAGCTTAGATAAACTGAGATGCCATCAATAATTTACTAGTATTCCTTGGGCCTTATTTTAGGTTTTTCTTTGACTTGATTCACTTCGAGAAGTAAAGATCAACAAATAAAAGTTCAACAAGCACAGTGTAAACAAAGATCCACAAAGTAAGATATGGCTTAGAGCATGCAGGCATTTATGGATCTTGATTCCTGATGCAAAATTAACACCAGCTATGTTGGAATGAGACTTAGAATATGGATGTAAAGAAAGAGGGAGGGATAGAGAATTCTAGTTAGTTATTACATAAGATGGAATTTTATTTTATAGAAGCGCAGAATCTTGTTCTGTCACCAAAGCTCAAGTACAGTGGTGTAATCGTAGCTTACTGCAGTCTCAAACTACTGGGCTCAAATGATACTCAGACCTTAGCCTCTCAAGTATCTGGGACTATAGGTGCAGGCTGCCATGCCTGTGTGTGTGTGTGTGCGTGTGTCCCACTATGCATGTGTGTGTGTGTGTCCCACTATGCATGTGTGTCCCACTATGCGTGTGTGTGCACACATGTGCACAGAATCTCGCTTCGTTTTTCAGACTGATCTCAAACTTCTGGCCTCAGCCTCCCAAAGTGTTGGGATTATAGGTATGAGCCACCACATCCAGCCTACAGTGGAATTTTCGTTCTATGGTCTTAAAAATCTAAGATTAAATATCATTTCCTTAGGTAAGCTGTTCCCAAAATCTCCAGATTAGAACTGGTAGGCCTTTTTGGATTTCACATATATAGATCCTTCCACTTTTTCTTTTTTCTTTTTCTTTTTTTTTTCTTTTTCTTTTTTTTTTTTTTTTGACACAGAGGTCTCACTTTGTTGCCCATGCTGGAGTGCAGTGATGCCATCTCAGCTCACTGTAACCTCTGCCTCCCAAGATCAAGCGATGTTCAAGTCAAGACCCCCTTGACTTAAACTCTGTAAAGGCTGGCAACAGAGGATGTTTTGCCAACAGCATCTAACACGGTTTATATTTTGTTGAGTGAATGTCAACGAAGGAAAAAGATTGGTTTGGTTTGGCTGGCATGTTATATTTATGAAGGAGAATAATGGGAACTTGGAAAGTTAAAAGTGTTGAAAGGAATATGGAAATAAACTGGGTATAGTAGTCTCCCTTTATCCAAGGGGATATGTTCCAAGACCCCCAGAGGATGCTTGAAACTGCAGGTAGTACCAAACCCAATACATACTAGGTTTTTCCCTGTGCACATGTAACTATGATAAAGTTTAATTTATAAGTTGAGCACAGTAAAAGATTAACAACAATAATAATAAATTTATAACAATATGCTAGCATCACTGCTCTTGTACTTTGGGGTCATTACTAGGTAAAATAATGGTTCCTTGAACATAAGCACTGTGATATCAGGGCGCTTGATCTGATAGCTGGGATAGCTACTATGTAACCAATGGGCGGGTAGCGTATACAGTGTTGATATGCAGGACAAAGGGATGATTCAAGTCCTGGGTGAGGCATTAGGACAATACAGGATATCATCATGCTAGCCAGAACAGTGTACAATTTAAAGCTTATCAATTGCTTATTTCTGGAGTTTTCTATTTAATATTTTCAGACTGGAATTGACTGCTGATAACAGAAACCACGGAAAGTGGAACTACAGATAAGTGGGAACTACTGTAGTTGGGTTGTAGAACTAACCTGGCAGCTATGTAAGATAGATGGAAGCGACTCAAGAGGTAAAGTAGTTAGAAAACTAAGAAATGGTAATGGAGCCTGAACTAGGGTAGTGACTAGAATGGGAATCAATCAGACAGTAAATATTTATTGTGTCGTGTGTATGAGGCATTGTGCTGCTAATTGGTAGACATAACGGCAATGAACGAGGAGGATACAGTGCTTGCACTTTGGTTACATGTATACAGTCTACCTTGGAGACAGATATTCGGTAAAACAACTATAGCAAAAATAGGTGCTATGAAAGCACCCAACTGATGTATCACAGATGGGAGAGGTGTCTTAGAAGGCTTATGAGGGCCTTATTTTAGCTGAGACCTGATAGCTTCCATGAAGATAAAAGATAGTGTATAAACACACATATATACATGCATGTATACTACATACTCTTAAATATTTTACATGCATATGTAGGTACTCTTCCATCAGCTGAACTGACTTAACCTACTTACTAAGACTGGTGTGTTTTTAATTCTGATAAATTAAGCACTGCAATGGCCCTCTTCAACCTGATCATAAAATTGGAAAAATACAAAATGCAGATTGATTAATATCAAATAGTATTTTAGATCAAGATCTTCATGGTCTGGTGCACTCCCTCCATCTCTTTTATCTGAAATTCAGTGTCTATATATGTAGACATATACACACACACACTATATGTAGTATATAGCTCCAGAGAGTGCCCCCACAGTTTATAGCACAAACATACACAATGCCCCTCAGTTTTGTTTATGTTTTTCCTGAGATTATACTTATTACTGATGCTCCTTATAGTAGGTTTACTTTTTTAAAAATTTTATTTCAGTAGCTTTTGGGGTACACATGGTTTTTTTGTTGTTGCATGGATGAATAATATAGTGGTGAATTCTGAGATTTTAGCTCATAGCTTAGCTCCCACTTATAAATGAGAACATAAGATTTTTGGTTTTCTACTCCTGCATTATTTCCCTTAGAATAATGGCCTCCAGTTTCATCCAAGTTGCTGCAAAAGACATTATTTTCTTCCTTTTAGTGGCTGAGTAGTATTCCATGGTTTATATATACCAGATTTACTTTATCCACTCATTAGTTGACAGGCACTTAGGTTGGTTCCTAAGTGAATTGAGAATTGTGCTGCTATAAATATATCTGTGCAAGTGTCTTTTTCATATGTCTTCTTTATACAAAGAAACCTTTATACAAAGGTTTCCTTTGTATAACCATTATATAGTTATTCCTTGGTATCCTTGGGAGACTGGTTTTAGGACCCTCCTGGATGCCAAAATTCAGATTCTCAAGTGTCTTAAATGAAATGGGGTGATATTTTCATATAACCTACGCATATTATCCCATATACTTTCAGTCATCTCTGGGTTACTGTTAAAAATGTAAATGCTATGTAAATAGGTGTTATACTGTGTTGGTTTTTCATTTGTATTATTTTTGTATTCTTTTTTATTGTTTATTTTTTCCCAAATATTTTCTATCCATGGTTTGCTGAATCTGAGGATGTGGGACCTGTGGATATGGAGGGCTGACTTTTAATATACCCTCATATAGAGGGAACATCATAAAACCTTTTTCTCCCTTAGATCATTACTTGTTGAGCACCTGGTAAATGTAAAGTACTGTTCTAGAAGCTGAAGGATTTCCATAAATGCAGAATGTTACCCTACTCTCAAGGATTTTACAGTCCAGTTGGTGAGTGGAATAGGTCGTGCGTAGTACAAGTCAATAGGTACAAACACATGAACAAATCAGACAGTAGGGGTCATGGTATATAAGAGAAAGGTAATCCAGAAATACCAAAAAGTCTCTGTGCAGACTATGAGTCAACACTGTGTACATAAAACTAAGTTTTTAGGCCCAGTGAATTAACATTGCTGTTTTTACTTTTTCATTAGCATGTTGGCAGATAAATTGAACATGACTCCAGAAGAAGCTGAAAGGTGGATTGTAAATTTGATTAGAAATGCAAGACTAGATGCCAAGATTGATTCTAAATTAGTGAGTATTATGTTAGCTATACTACATACTATCAGTTCTTGATTATACTTTTGGGAATTCTTAACTAGGACATTTTATTACCTCCTTTAATAATTTATGTTGTTTTAATGTAAAACATTTCTTTGAAGGCAACAAAAGCCTCCTATTTTTTTTCTTACTTGGTAAATATTGTCATCTCTATATAGTGCATTAAAATATGTGCTTGTTACTCACCTGAGAAACTCTGTCATTTACATTATAGGATCAATTTCCCTGTGTTTCCTTTTAGGGTCATGTGGTTATGGGTAACAATGCAGTCTCACCCTATCAGCAAGTGATTGAAAAGACCAAAAGCCTTTCTTTTAGAAGCCAGATGTTGGCCATGAATATTGAGAAGAAACTTAATCAGAATAGCAGGTCAGAGGTAAGAACCATACATTTTCTATTCTGTCTGGGATTTAGCAACCGTGTAATTGTTAGATGAAGTTTGGAAGTGTATTGATATGAGTTGTAGCTGATTTTGTTTTTCTCTTTAAAGATATGAACATTTTAAGAAATTACTAAACGAATGAATTTTTTCTTAGATGCATTATTGTGTTCCTAGTTTATTATAAGTATTTTTCTTTTGCTTTGACTCTTCAAAAAGAAATTGTGTTCCTAATTTATTATAACATTTTTCTTTTGCTTTGACTCTTCCTGTGTGACTTCATTAACTCATTTCCTCAGGGTTTTCAACACATCATTTTGATACTGGCAGATGATAACTTACATGTGTAGCCCTCTTTCAAGTGTTCGAAATGTGTATTCCTTCTAAATCTAAAGAAATAGTTCTGTAAAAATGTTGATCTTATTATATGTATTAGTGCTGATCTTATACAAATGTCATTATCTTTCATCTGATATTCACATCAAAAATTAATCTCCCATTTTGGGAGATTAATTCTGCATGTTAGCTATTGAAGAAACTTGAATAGCCTTATAATTTTGGAATCCTAAACTATGTTGTTTACACATTATGATTATGTGTAACTGGAGGGTAGGAAGTCATTAGGAAACAGTTGTGGGATATGCAGAAACCCTATTTGATTGAAATTTTAGGAACAAATTTGTGTCTGTGGAATAGTCCTTTAGTTCAAAAGGGAAGGATGCATTAGAATTTGAATTGCATATTTTAACCAAGTTTAGAATAACTGAGCCTAGAAAATAACTTTCATATGATGTTTTTTTCTGTATGCTTCAGGATTAATTTGTGTTGTTTATTGTTCCAGTATTAATGATACCGTTACTGCTATACATTTTAGTTGGCCAAATACTATACCAGATAATAATTTTGATGTTTGTTTTGTCCTAAGTGGGACATCTGACATCTAGTAATTGCAGGAGTTAAGATCTTAGAATGGTTTGGCAAGAGTAGTGCTAAAGTAAATGCTGTGTCACTTTCTTGTATGTTAGTTTTTTTCCGAAAGTATTTTCTTTTCACTCTGTTGATTTCTTTTTGCATATTTTAGGCTCCTAACTGGGCAACTCAAGATTCTGGCTTCTACTGAAGAACCATAAAGAAAAGATGAAAAAAAAGAAAAGAAAGATGAAATAATAAAACTATTATATAAAGGGTGACTTACATTTTGGAAACAACATATTGAGTATACATTTTGAAGAATTGGAATAAAATTGACTGATTCATTTTATCTTGCTGTCAATTTTCCTGCATGTGCAAATTTGTGTTTTTTTAACTTTCTTTTTTGGAATAATTACATTCAGAGGAAGTTGCAAAATTAGTACAGAGAAGTCCATGTAGGCTGAAACCCTATTTCCGTCAATTTTTTCACTTTATGTTACTATGGTACAGTATCAAAACCAGGATGTTGACATTGGTACAGTAGGTGCGTGAATAGCTCCCTATCATTTTATCATGTGTAGATTTGTGTAACCATCACTGCAACCGAGATAGAGAATTATCATCATGATCTCCCTCATGCTACGTTTTTGTAAGCCATACCTACTCCCAACCAGCTCTAACCCTAGAAACCACTAATCTGTTCCTCATCACTATATTTTGTCATTATGAGAATGTTATATAAATGGAATTACATAATACACAACCTTTGAGATAAGCTTTTTTCATTCATCACAATGCTCTGAGAGCCATTCAAAGAGCATGGAGACCTCCCAATACTAAACTTAGCATGGGGGTCTACAAACTTTTTTTGTGAAAGGCCAGATATTAAATCTTAGGCTTTGCAGACCATATGTTCTCTGTTTTAGCTATTCAACTCTGTCATGTAGCACAAAAGCAGCCTTTGTATGTAAATGAATGCTTATGGCTGTGTTCCAGTAAAACTACAAAAACAGGCCAAGGGCCAGATTTGTTTTACCTGCTGTGGTTTCCAACCCTTGGCTTGGGGTATTGGTACTTCTAAGCTTTAGTCTAAGGGTGCTGAAACTAGGAAGATTATTGGTTAGGATAAGCCAAGTGCTAGTTTTTTTATTCATCTGTAACCAGTATTGTGAAGATGCCAAGTATAGGGCAGGAAAAAATACATACAGAAATATAAAGAATTCTTGGTAGTACAAAATGGTCAAGGATCATGGAGAAAATATGAAAGTGTTGCATCAGTAACAAGGTAGAACAGTAGCAAGATAGACCCTTTATATATGTAGCAGCTAATTCCATGAATTAAAAGTTCTTTATCAAATAGAGCCGTAGTTATTATACAGAACTATATAAAATGGCATATATTACTCAGGCTATGTAGAATTGAGAAAAATGTTCTCAGTTGAGAAGGAAGGAAACAAGACTTCCATGTTTCCTTCTTCACCAGTAACCAAAGGGCCAAAAGTTCCTACATGGAGACATCATTAATCACTGTTTAAGACTGTAGCTCAACCAAGCCACATTAATAGCTAACAAAGATTTCTGGATGCTTACATAGCTCAGCAGCTAAAAACAATTATTAAATATGCCCGTGGACTAGTAAAAGCCCCAGGTAGGAAAAATAGGAAGCCAATAATAAGTATTTACCATGTGTCATAGGAAGCCAGTAGTAAGTATTTACCATGTGTCAGGCATTTTCATGTCCTCTGTTTCTCTAAGTAAACTAACCTAAGGAGAAGGAAGGGAATCTTAACATCTGAATGCCTTGCTTAAGCCTGGAAATACTAAAATTTAGGTGGTATTATTTATATGTTATTGATAAGGAAGCATACTCAGATGGCCGCCTAAAGCTGGAGTCCCCAGCCCCTGGGCTGTGGACTGCTACCAGGCTGTGGCAGCATTCGATTCTCAGGAGCGTGAACCCTAGTGTGAACTGAGAGCATGAGAGGGATTTAGGTTGTGCATTCCTTATGAGAATCTAATGTGGCCTACCCCCGATTTGTGGAAAAACTGTCTTCCACGAAACCGGTGCCTGGTGCCAAAATGGTTGGGGACTGTTGGCTTAAGGTAATACCTAGTGCCAGTTAAAGTAAGGAAAAGACTCTTCAGTTATGTCACACTAACCTTCCTTACATCATTCATTGCTGCTTTATAATTAGAAATTGCAAAGAGTTAAGGGATACATATTTAGTAGGTTGTGTGAACAGGTCTTGATCCACCAAACTTTAGCTGTCTCGCACCATTATCTTCTAGTAAGAGCAAAGGGTACTCCTTTTCTACAGGTATAATCATTGGATACTAGTGGCCCCTTACACGCAAAACCTATTGGAACATAGAAAGCTCTGAAGAACATCTCTTTGATTTTTCTTTTTTCTATTTATACTCTGCTCCCTCAAGATTATGTATTATATGAATAATTAATGCTCACTTCTACCACTTTTTTTCTTTTCACATGTTGCCATCAACTTGAAAGATGATGCCACTATGGATTACTATTATCAATTAGAAAAAAACTATATACAACTAATGGCCATTTTTGCACATTACCAATACTTGCTCATCTTGAAAACCCATTTTTGAAGTTTGCATAGTAAAAGTTACTTGATTTGGGGCTTAACCTTAAGTTTTGGTAATAGGCTATTCCAGTAAAGTATTGAGCACCAAATAAGTACTCATTTTCTTGTGCTCTTTTTTTTTTCCTTTTCTTGCCATTAAGTAGATAGTACATCCTCCTATGTGTTAGCAGCTTTTATAAACACATCAAAGAACACCATTCATGAAACTTATGTTAAAAAAGTTGCTTTGAGTCCTTTAAAATTTTTTCTATGCATAAACATATGTGTTTGTGCTTTAATATGAACTATACAAGAGTATTTGTAAATGTCCAGTTTACAGGAAAAAAAAAAAAAAAAAAAAAAAACATGCATTTATCCAGTACCAATGCTTCCTACCTGCTACTGAGCTTAAGAAATAGAATGGTCCTAGTAATTGGTCCTGTGGGCCCCTCAGTAATTGTATTTTCTTCTTTGTCCCTAAAAAGTGAACACTACCATAACTTGTTTGTTAATTTCCTTGTTTTTATTGTTTTATCACACACACACCATACACACATATAGACCATATATACACACAGTTGACCCCTTAACAACATGGGTTAAGGACACCTATTCACCAATAACCCAAAAGTCAAAAATTATTACATGGAGACACATAGAGTCAAAAGTCCATGTATAACTTACAACTTCCCCAGAACTAATAGCTTACTGATAAACAGTTGATTGATTAACAAATATTTAGTATATTATATACTGTATTTTTACAATAAAGCTATAGAAAAGAGTGTTATGAGGATATAAGGAAGAGAAAATATACTCAACATTGATTAGGTAAAAATGGGTCATCATTATAAAGGTCTTCATCCTTGTCTTCACATTGAGTAGGGTGAGGAGGGGGTTGGTCTTGCAGTCTCATGGGTAGCAGGGCAGGAAGTGGTGGAGGTGGAAGTGGAGGCATGAGGCAGTCACACCTGCAAATTTAAGGAAACACTAATTTGACATTTTTGCTTTTTCATTTTTCTCAAAGTATTTGTATATGATACTCATCCTTTTTCACCATTTGTGTAGTTTTTAGTGCCTGTATCAGAAGGGTCTATGCCATGAAAGAAATCGAAAGCAATCTTGAATAATCAGAACCCTTCTGTCAGATATCTAACGTCGATTTGTGTTCTGGCACTGTGGCTTCTGCATTGTCTTACCATCTGGCACTGGTTCAGAAACACATCTCCATCGAGTCATGTTTTGTTAATTCCTGTAGTATGGTGTCTGTTAGCTCTTGAATTTCTCCAAGATCTGTATCTTAAAACCCTCCATCCCCCACTTTTTTTGCCATATGCATAACCTCTTTCATGATTTCCTTTATTGGTTCTGTTGTAAATCCTGTGAAGTTTTGCGCTACATCTGGACACAGTTTTCTGCAGCAGGAATTTATTGATTTATTGTTTTGGGCATGATGGCTTTCACGGCTTTTGTTGTTGTTGTTGTTATTGTTAGAACAATGTATCTTCAGTGGTGTAATCCTTCCAGACTTTCGTGATGTTCTCTCCATCTGGGTTGGCTTCCACAGCATTGACAATTCTTTCCATAGAGTACCATGTGCATTGAGGCTTAAAGGTCCTTATTACCCCCTGTTTGAGAGGCTCAAATAGATATAATGTGTTTGGGGGCAAGTAGACCACTTGAACACCTTTAGTGTTGAACTTACAGACTTCTGGTTGGCCAGGGGATTGTCCAATATCAAAAAAACCTAAAAAGCAGTCTCTTACTGGCAAGGTACTTCCTGAATTCAGGGAAAAAGCACTAATGGAACCAATCCAGAAAAGGTTAAATTTGTCCAGTCTTTCTTGTACAACCAAAAGACTGGCAACTGTTGTTTATCTTTTCCCTTCAAGCTCAGGGTTAGCAGGGATATTGAAAAGGGCAGTCCTGATCATGACTGCTTGTGCATAAGGCAGTAGAGTTAGCCTATTTCTTACTGCCTTAAATCCTAGTGCTCACTTCTCTTTCTTATAAATAAGTGTACTTTTTCCCAGAATAGGGCAGTTTTGTCTGCAATTAAAAACTTGTTCATGCAGATATCCGTTCTCTTCAGTGATTTTCTTAGTGTCTGGGAACTCATCTGCTACCTCTTGCAGCAGAAGCTGCTTCTCCTATCTTGACACTTTTTAAGCCCATCCTCTTTAAAATTATCAAACCATCCTTTGCTGGCATTAAATTCTCCAGCTTTAGACCTTCACCTTCCGATTTGGCTTTTAGTTGTCATACAATGACCACTATGTCTTGAACCATATTAGAGTCTGTAGCTTTGCCTTTCTTATAACAATCCTGCACCCACATAAAAACTGCATTTTCAATATGAGATAAAAACATTTCACAAAAAGTACAAGGTTTCTGTACCTGCTGACATAGCTGCAGCAACAGCTTTACGCATTTCCTTTTCTTTTTTTTACAATAATTCCTAGGCTGGATTCATTTATCTTGAAATGGCAGGCAATCCAGATGAACACCTCAATTTACAGCACCTATCAAGCAATTCAGCTTTTTCTTGTAACGTCATGACTTCTCTCTGCTTCTTGGGACCACTTCCAGGACCACTAGTGGCATGTTGTATGGGCTCCATGGTGTTACAGTATTGTACTAAATGAAAAATACATGAGAACCATGAAAGATCACTTTTTACTGCAATATGCAATTTACTGGAGAGATGAACTGCTCACACAGAGATGGTTAGCATCACATGGCATTTTAAGTGGATACTCACCAGAACTCATTGCAATAGCACTAAGAGATGGCTATGAAATTATTACAGTGATACAGTATGAACTACAGTTAATTTTATGCCTGAGTGGCTTAATACTGCATCTTTACATTTGTTTACATTTCTCTTGACTGGGAATGGGACCGTGTCTGTAAGTGTTTGTGTAAGGTTTGAAAATTTTTAACTTTTTATAATAGATTTGTGTGTATTTTATGGTAGTAAATGATAAAATAGACTAGTAGCTACATATTTTTATACATTCATGACAACTTTTTCTTAATTTTGTCAGTATTTCTCAACTATATTGTTGTCTGTGAGTTTTTTCAAATTGTGATGTGTTCATGGGTCAATTGTAGTTGGTCAATGCCTGTCCTAGACTGTCATGTTCATTTATTTATGTATGATATCTATCTGGTTCACTACTGAATCCCTAATGTCTGGCTCTTATTAGGCCCTCAATAAATTATTGAATGAATGCATCAATGAATGTTCAGAATGGCATAATGGAAAAAAAATTGAACTTGAAGGTAAAAGGTTAAAAAATGTATCTTTCGGAAAACTTTAATTTTCCTTTAATATCAGGTGATCATGACCAAAATCATGTATTTCTTATTCTCTAATTTCATAATCTGTCAATTGGCAATATTGACTGCTTTGTGTGCCTGGCTATTTGGGATTAAGTACCAATAAATAAATTTTTAAAACCACAAAACCCAAAAACGTCACAGCCCTTCTCTCTATGAGTTCACAGTTTACATCTGAGACAGACACATGAACATAAAAGATAAAATGAGAAGTACTACTGTGTGTGAAAACACTTAGACTTATGAAGTGCTTCTGTAAGATACATTTTTTAAAATGGTTAAAGTCCGTTGAAGACATGTTAAAATCATTAAGATACTGCAATGTATGAAAAGTTTTATAAAAGTTATCTTTTTCTTGGTCTTGACTCCGTCTTGGTAATGGTGGAAGTAAAAATGGAGAGAGGCAGATACACTATCTCAGATGTTTTTCTTCCTCTCAACTTCCCCAGCTGTCAAACAAAAAGCTGGACAGCATACAAAACTATTAGACTTATAAACTCACAATACTCTGACCTCGTGTTGTTTGCCAGTCTCTGATTGATCACCACATATGACCACTGTTTTGCTTTCTAGCTGGTGGCTTTGTGAACAAAGCATAGCGGTACAGATATCCTCAAATACCCTCATGTACCTTGAAGAGGTCACTTGGGTAGTAAACCCTTTTGGTTCCCGTGCCACTAACACAGGAGTCAATTGAGAGCCTAAACTGGGTTTGCCTCAGCAATAGAGGCCAGTAGTAAAAACTCAGCAATAAAAACCAGCAGTAAGAAAAGTAGTCAAGGTCAGGGGCAAACTATCTGCTTGAGTGAAATGTTTAAAGCTTCCAACGAGGCTTTAATTAGACTCAAAAAACATCCCACTGTTAAACTGTTTTGTGTTTCCCGTGCATAATTTACTTCCATGCATTTTAATTCTCAGTGATCAAACATCCTCTGGAAAAGCGCTAACTTCCTGGAGAGGTAGCACAAACACTGTTATGTTTTGTTAATTTTTCATCTCATGTATTTAATAAACAGTTTGACTGTTAGAATCTGCAAGAAATAACATTAATCTAAGGCATCTCCTATTTTGGTTCTAAAACTGTGACTCTTGTGCTGACTTCCATTTAGTCTGATGAGATTGGGAGAACAATGCCAGATTGATTCATTTTGTTTTTAATTGTTGTAAAGACCATTGAGAGGGGAGGAGAATGTTGTTTGACTTTGACATTTTGAACTGGGAAACAGCTTGGAAATGTAGGCACAATTCCAGGTAAATAAGCTAAGTATACTTATGTGTGTATGTATATGTAAGTCTAATTGCTTAAAGGTATACCTCTAAGATTCCAAATTGATTGATGCTAGAAGGCAGCTGTTTGAGGACCAGAGGCATGGCTTATATGCAAAATGATATGGAAAAAAATAATTGGATCACAGAAAGACAGTGTTATTTAATCAGAATTTGAAATCTGGCAGCTCTCCTAGGAGAATAAAATACTATTGGATTGCATTTAATTGTGGACTCTTTTTTTATCTTGCCTCTACATTGCCCCTTAGGCACTGTAACTCCCTAAACAGAAGGCATAATAATAGATACTTGGTAGACACCCACTTGTTCACTGTCCATTCATGCATGCAGGTAGACAGATAATGTTTGTGAGGTATTACAGCTGCAATCTGGCAGAAAGAACATGACTGATTCCCTCTGCTTTCCTCTACTGAGGGAGTATGCAGCTTTTCATTTCATTTTAGAGACAAATGGTCTGCACAGGAAGGAAGCACATGGGTAGCTATGTCTTTGTTCATTTGGCTAACGAGGCCAGAGCTGTGGGTCCATCTCTGCATAAGCCGGTTAGTGTTTCTCTACTCCTAACCACAGATTTGCACTTGAACCTTTGCCAGCTGTTTCCCAAGTGCATGCCATTGGATGTGAGGGAGACCTGAAATGAGTGCAGATAGATCAGCTTAAAATCATCACAACGTTTTCAAACAAAACAAAGCATAAAGCTTGAAGCCCTTAATGGCAGATCAGAAGTTTTATCTTT